GCATTTTTGGACACACACCCTGTCTTCGCATTCCTGAAGGATTCTCCTCTCTTCTGGGTCGCAGGAGCGAGCCATCTGGACCCAGGATCCTCTGAAAAGCCCTTGATCGAGGCAGAATTCCCCTTTCATGTGCTTGGAATTCATGGCTGGAACACGGAGGTTTCCTGACTCCAGGAATTCGAAACGCTTCTTTTTAATGTTTGCCGGAACCAAGAATTGCGTGGAGCAGGGGTTAGAAGCCAGGTCGTCGACACCGACGAAAGATTCATATTGTGATGTGTTCAGCACATCTCTTGCCTCTGAATATAAATCTGGAAGCGTCCAGCTAATGGGACAGGGGACACATTTTTTCTGAGCTAGATCGAAACCTTCCTGCAACGGGCAGCATTTCGGGACGAAGATGGTCTTCGTGCTCCCTCCCATGCAGCATCCTTTTGGGATACTCGCGAGAAGGAGGAGTGGGAAGAGCCCAATGTGTCTCCAAGTCGCCATGTGACTTGGAGACAAGTCCACTTCCACTTTTCCACTTTTCACCATCTCTTCATAATCCTTCCCCCCGCCCCCTTCAAGCCGAGTTCACAGCATTCTAGGTACAAGAGAACTGACCGAGACAAATGACGTGACACGACCCGGACACAAGTCGTTCTGATAAAACAGAAACCACGAAAGAGGATGTCTCTTATTTTCCCTCAACAACGAATGACGCAGACTCGGGATCAACTCGGGATATCCCGTCTCCGTCTCCGGAGAGAGAAATAAATCCATCGACAGACACGATAACGCCATTTCCCTTAATTCAACCGGAAAGAATTTGGACAAGCATTTTCTCTCTCTCAACACAAAATGGCTCCGGAAATGTTGATACTCCATCCCCCCTGTGTTGGGGAGGTTTAATGAGGTGAATTTAATCCCGGCCGGTTTTTTTCTCCCCCCCCCCCCCCCTCCCCCCCCCCCCCCCCCCCATTGCGCAACCCCTCCAGGCGTATTTTCGGCGGAGGTATCNCCCCCCCCCCCCCCCCCCCCCCCCCCCCCCCCCCCCCCCATTGCGCAACCCCTCCAGGCGTATTTTCGGCGGAGGTATCCCCACTAAAAGAAAGTAATGGATACAATGAAGGGAGAGATATGGGCACGTGCCCTTTCCGTCGCTAGCAATGCACTCATTCGCCGTGGAAAATGAAATGCCTATGAAATGATTGGGGACCCAGAAAAGCGTAAACAAACGACTATTTCCGCTCTTCTGGGTCCCCAATCCCGTCCGCCATAGCTGCCTGTAGGTGAGAACATTAATTTAATTTGGAAGTTATATCCTATTGTAGATATGACCTGATTTCTCATTTTTGCCGACGTCGAAAAAGATTGACCAAATCACTCATTCTTACGCAAACAGATGCTTAAACCACTCCGTTGTCGACATTTCAACCCAGCGTCGGATTAAGACTCTATTTTCATGAGACTGACCGATCGGTTTTTGAACTTTCCATTCACCTTCTCTGAGGGACATCCTCGAATCTTGGCCGGAATCGAATTTTCATTCCCCTCGGAATTTTGACAATTCGTTTTAAAACGTTCACTCTTTTTCAATCATCACATAAAGCATTATCAGAGGGGGAATATTGGGAATATTTTTTCAAGATTTTTTTCGAAAAAAAGGGTATGTTTCTAAAATTAAAACTAGCTGAATTTGAGGATATGGAAAATACTTTGACAAATAATTTTGCAGTAAAATGTACGATACGAAGACTAAGAGTCGAATTACATTCAGTAATTAATTATCCCCACTCAGTCGAATCGCAGGATGGCATAAGCAACAATTTTTCAAGGTTTCCCATATTCATGATGTCTAATATTTTTGTGCTTGTTTTTGTTTTTGCTCGGTCTTTATTTTTTTCGCCAGGAATTTGTCCCCTGCCCAAGCTCGGGAGACTTCCAAAGAGACCGAAAGCACGTTGAATGGCAGAATTTCGGCATAGCCGCATTTATTTTGATACAAAAAAAATGGAAAAGGAATCGGTCAGAACCGAGCGGATTGCAGACCCCTTCATTCACCAGGAACCTTGACGCCCGACCACTCATCCAACGGTAAACAATGCAACCGACTCGCGACCCCATCGGCCTCCTCCAGCCCCAAAGAAATCCTTCCCCAGACGAATCCGACCCAACCGAGAGCACCATTCACCTCCTCCCAAGCAACTTGAGTTTCTTCCAGATGACCACGACGAAGACGAAGGGTCCCTGCAGACAGCTGATCGCATCCGCGAGTAGCCAATGCTCCTCCGACCCCCAGACCAGGAAGCCGATGACGTCGGTCAACCAACTCAATCCCATCATCACAGACAACTTCATATACAGCCGAAACCTGCGCAGAAAAAAAAAGAGAAAACTTTCCCAGTTGAGAATGTTCTCGACCCGGGGTCCTGAGTCCTCCGAGGACCAAAAATGAATTTAAATAAACTCACTTTTCATCTTGTTTTTGGATGCGACTCAGATGAGACTTCATTCCGCCGTAACTAATCAAGCGAATGCTAGTGAGAACGAAGAAGACGACATTGACGAGGAGAAGCAAGAAAGTCGGTACATAGAAGTACAAGATGGACCCATAACGATCTACATGGAGAAACAAATATTCCATTCATATAGTTGTTCTTCCATTGAATCTGAATCTCGTCAACGATCATGGGACTGAACCTCCATCCCTTCAGTATGGTTTCTTCTCTCCCCTATCACGATCGTCCCGACATTCTCCCAACCGCAGGGGTGCATTTCCCGGAAGCCCTTCCCCCACCCCCCAGCCCCCCGGCCCCCCTTCCTCCCCCAGGGGATGGCGCGTGACTCGACGGCGAATGTTGGGGCCTTAATGGAGGTTTTCATGTTTTGCATCTGTTGATTACATCATTGAGGTAAAAGAATGACCCTCTTGGTAGCGAATCTCCTCCTCAATAGTGAATCCTCAACGGCATGGTATCTAAACAACCGTTATTCTGCCTTCTCATAATGAAATAAACGCAACTCTAAAATAAAAAGCAATAGGCGGAAATTGCATGAGGCAAGGGGAGGTCCAACGCACGCCACCAATGCACGACCACCTTCACGCCCTCGCGATGTTACGCGAGGGTATTCCAAAGCACGAATGCACGGCGTTCAGAGCCTTCATCTAACTTTTCCTCCGTGTCACTTCAGCTCAGCCACGCCAGGATTGAGGAAAGTGGGGGAATGAAGGGGGAGTGGGGACAAATGTAGTAATGGGAAAACCATTATCGAAAGGTTTACCCTTTTCTTCTCCATCTCCCTCAACGTACACTGCGGCTGCCAGTTTCCAGATCCTCCATGAATGACCTAAAATTACCACTGCAAGTATTTCTGCGCGTATGAGATGCGAATGCTGCGGACTTTCACGGCAACCAGATGGAGTTCGCGCGGGAAGGGAGACACCGAAGAATCGAGAAGCCTCGAATTGGCTCTCGAATTGGCTCTCGAATTGGCTCTCGAATTGGCTCTCGAATTGGCTCTCGAATTGGCTCTCGAATTGGCTCTCATGAGCCAGATCGAAACCTTCCTGCAATGGGCAGCATTTCGGGACAAAGATGGTCTTCGTGCTCCCTCCCATGCAGCATCCTTCTGGGATACTCGCGAGAAGGAGGAATGGGAAGAGCACAATGTGTCGCCAAGTCACCATGTCGTTTCCACTTTTCACCACCTCTTCATCATCCTTCCACCCGCCCCCTTTAAGCCGAGTTCACAGTTTTCTAGGTATAAGAGAACTGACAGGCCAATATCTTGACATGACCCGGACACAACAAGTCGTTCTGATAAAACAGAAACCACGAAAGAGGATGTCTCCTATTCTTCCTCAACGACGAACGACGCAGACTCGGGATCAACTCGGGATATCCTGTCTCCGTCTCCGGAGAGGGAAATAAATCCTGCGAATCAACAGACACGATAACGCCATTTCCCTTTATTCAACCGGAAAGAATTTTGGCAGGCATATTCCCTCTCAACCCAGAATGGCTCCGGAAACGTTGATACTCCATCCCCCCTGAGTTGAAGAGCACACAAAATATCGTTTAATAAAGTGAATTTCATCCCGGGAGGTTTTTTTGCTCCGCCCCCCTCCATTGGGTAACCCCTCCAGGAGTATTTTCGGCAGAGGTATCCCTGTTATAAGAAAGTTATGGATACAATGTAGGGAGAGATGCAAGCTCTTTACGTTGATAGTTTTACGCTCTTCTGTGTCCCCGAGCCCGTCCGCCATTGCTGTATGTAGGTGAGAACATTTGTTTAATGTAGGAAGTTATCTCCTATTGTATAATAGAAATGCCTTGATTTCTTATTTTTGCCGACGTCGAAAAAGCCTTTGACCATATCAGTCATTCTTCCACAAACAAATGCTTAAACCACTTTGGTGTCGACACTTCAATCCAGCATCGGGTTAAGATTGTATTTTCATGAGACTGACCGATCGGTCTTGAACGTTTCATCACCTTTTCTGAGGGACATCCTCATATCCTCGGCGGAATTGAATTTTCATTCCCTTCGGAATTTTGAATTCTTTTTAAAACGATCACTTTTTTCAATCACATAAAGCAAGATCAGAGGCGGAATATTTGAAATACCCTTTCAAGATTCCTAGGAAAAAGGTGTTCGTTTCGAAAACTAAAACGGGCTTAATTGGAAATATTTTCACAAATTTTGCAGTAAAACGTACGATACGAGGACTAAGAGTAGAATTACATTCAGTTCAGATTAATTTTCCCCACTCAGTCCGACTCCATGATGTCAGAAGCAACTATTTTTCAAGTTTGCCCTTTACTGGTGATGTCTAATATTTTTGTGCTCTGTTTTTGTTTTTGTTCGGTCCTTATTTTTTTCCCCAGGAATTTGTCCCCTGCCCAGGCTCGGGAGACTTCCAAAAGCAACGAAAACACATAGAAAAGACTGAAGCAGATTTTCGGCATTGCCGCATTTATTTTGATACAAAAGAATGGAAAAGGAATCGGTCAGAACCGAGCCGATCCGACATTGCAGACCCCGAATTCATCAGGAACCTTGGCGCACGACCACTCATCCGTTCCAATGGTAAACAATGTAACCGGCTGTCGACCCCCTCCGGCTCCTCCACCCCATCTGGCTCCTCCACCCCATCTGGCTCCTCCACCCCCAAAGAAAACCTTCCCCAGACGAAGCCGACCCAACCGAGAGAACCATTCACCGAACCTCCTCTCAAGCAACTTGAGTTTCCTCCTCCTCCAGATGACCACGACGAAGACGTAGGGTCCCTGCAGACAGCTGATCGCATCCGCGAGGAGCCAATGCTCCTCCGACCCCCAGACCAGGAATCCGATGACGTCGGTCAACCAACTCAATCCCATCATCACAGACAACTTCATATGCAGCCGAAACCTGTGCAGAAAAAGAAAAAAAAATAGAAAACTTTCGCACACCAGTTGAAAATGTTCTCGACCCCGTGTGCTTAGAGTTGCATGTTGAGCCCTCCGAGGACCAAAAATGAATATAAATAAACTCACTTTTCATCTTGTTTTTGGATGCGACTCAGATGAGACTTCATTCCGCCGTAACTAACCAAGCGAATGCTAGTGAGAACGAAGAAGACGACATTGACGAAGAGAAGCAAGAAAGTCGGCCCATAGAAGTACAAGATGGACCCATAACGATCTACATGGAGAAACAAATATTCCATTCATTTAGTTGTTCTTCCATTGAATCTGTTCAAGACGAGCTCCCCCCCAAGTGGAATATGAAGATGTCTATCACGTCTTTTGAAGTGGAAATTCATCATGGGATGTCCCCATGGTTCCAAATTCGCTCACAAATTTAATCTGTGATGAACGTGCCCTCTTTTCAAATCACGCTTTTCGATATAAGGAGAGTTGTAGGCATACCCGTAGCATTCAACGCGAGGATGGGGCATGAGCATTCTTAATTACTCGAATTATAATTATCAATATAAATAATATGACTTGAATATATGTAAACAATCGTTCGTGAGCGACTGAATGAGAGTTGCCGAGGAAAATATAATGAGAGAGGCGACACTTTCATCAGCCTATCCACCAAACCACGTCAGCTGACTGAGGAACAGCTGACTCGTCTGAGGAACAAGCGGATGATTTGGCCGATAATGTGCTTACCGCCAAGCCAGCATCGTTCGTTGGGTTTCGGCTTCGGTCGGATGATGTCAGGAAAGATTCCATAGGCGAATTCCATGAGGCATCCGACCATGAAGATACACGACGAGATCCCGTGTGCATAAAGATGGTAAAATAAGAGTTTCTTCTTCCCCGTTCCGAATGGAGACGTCTTCCGATCGATTCTGGAAGATGCAGTCAGCGAAGGAAAGAGAAATAAGCCCAAAGAAAAACTCGAGTATACCGATCCCTTGAAATGCATATAAAAGAGAGAAATATGGAATGAATAAAATTGGGAAGAAGCACATCACAAGGATTATTGCTATTTCAGGACCTTTTGAGGCCTGTGGGTCTCCTCGCTCGCCTGACATCGAGCCAGACGTCGAAATTCATGACGTTTAGCCAGGCGAATGCTGCGAGGAACCCGTAGAAGGTGAACAGGGCTGGAAGGACAAAATAGGAAGCCGACATTAATTACGGGAGCAAAGGT